GAATTCATTATGTATCATAATGTAATATTTTCAGACATGAATAATGTTCGCAATAAAATTTTATATTGATTTATTTTCGTGTAGAAGAAATTTAATTTTCAAAATGAAATATTTCTGTACAGTAACAAAAAAAGTTACCAAAAATTTTCAAACTTTGTATCAAAAATGTTAGTATAAAGCAATTACATTTTTAGACGTAAATAATTGCGTCAATAAATTCATCATTATACAGCTGCGTTTTCAGAAAAAAAATTACAAGGATCTCTAAAAATATATAGGTTGTGTTTAAAAATGTTTTCTTACTTTTCTGTCACTCCAGACAGAAATCTTGTCTGATCTTTACATCACATCAGTTGTGCCATTGTTTAACTACAAATTACTGTCTCTGGAAGTTCTGCGAGGACTTAACATTCTGTGTGTAATCATTTAAATATTTTTGAGAACTACCTACCTGGAAGGTCGGATCGAGAAAGATTATTATGCAAAACCTATACCTATGATGTTTCTAATAACCAGGCATGGGTTATCAACATTGTGGTTCTAATTAAAATTTATTTACATTGACCTATACGTAACTCATTGTTTAGTAAAAAAATTTCTCATTTGGTCAATCTGATTATGAGTACCTAATAAAAAAACTGACACCTTAAACCTTCTTCGCTTACTTAATAAGTCGTCGTCTTAGGGATGTTAGGGGCTTTATCTTCTAGAAGGTCTAAGTAGTGTGGCGCCTCGACGTTATTTACTAAGAAAGTTTAACCTTCCGTAAAATTGTAAGAGTGGTACGTGTTAAAATTTGCAATTAGTGTCATTGCTTTACAGAAATCCGTCCATATCCCTCTGAAAAATTAGTTTTAGTTAATGCTTTACGAAATTCAGACATTTCTTTTTTCACATTCCATCATCTACCCGTAGTGTTTTTTATTTGTGTGAATACATATTTGCTTGTTTGTGAAAATACCCCTTTACGGTTCATGTATATACGTATTTTCAGAGGATACGTCAACGGTATTTCTATTTTCGGATAATGAAGACGATGCGAATAGCACTTTAGATATGTGATATCTAAACAATCTAAAGTGTTAAACTTACACTTAGTTCTAAACTTTGAAAATTCGGATACAAGTATGAATGCCTAATTCGATTCGTGGTGATTCCAAGTAAGTTTTAACAAAAATTTGATATTTTATTGATTTTCTTTTTTGTCAGATAATTGTCTATTCCAACGAGTACTGATTTGAGTAAGAAGTTTATCTGCAAATTTTGACCACATAGTAGTTGTGTACTGGATTATGAGATACACTTTTGGTTTCCATGGACACAAAATTTACCTAAGTCATCTGAACGTTGATATTTTCGCAAATGAAGGTAATAGAAAATTATTTCATTTATTACTACAAAACATTAGTCATTATCATTACTAAGATATGTTACAATTACCCGCTGATCGAGTCCAACATTCATCTCAAACCAACTGGTGGTACATGTGTACGTGCAATCCGGAACAGACGATTTATAAAACTAGTCCCTATTAAAATTAGACGTTAACGTAATAATCAAATTATTAGCTAAAGCGCTAGTATTTAGTCACTGAAAATGTCTCGTTCCACTCGATGATATGTGTATACAACCGTGATACACATTAAAATCAAAATAAAATTGTTGGATTAATGTTGAATTTCACCTTTAGCCCACCTGCAACATCGTCCATATGATGGTGTTCTTTATGTGTGCAAATAGTATCTCGGTAGCAAAAACGAGCCATTTAGCGTGATTGGTACAGTTTTAGAACACCTTGCTAAAATGAAAAGAATTCTACTATACCTATGTGTATGGATACAATCCGCAATACATTAATTTATGATATGAATTTATAATTCATTTATATCCGAATATACAAGAAGAAGAGTTAGCCTTACTTTTATAGTTTATGAGATTCATTAATTCGGTTAAAATCATACTTCTTTTTATTTTTGATGATGATATAGGAAGTTGATATCGATTTTGATTAGTTAGTTAATTACTTGATGATGCAAATTATTAACCGAATTATGGTGATTATTAAAATTCAACAGCTTAAAACAAATGATGATATACCGGATGTCTGGAAAATGGCGGATTAACTCTCCGCTACGCTCTTAACAATCAACTGGTGAGTCTGGGAAAAATAGTAAAAAAAATCCTTCTCACATTTTGGTGGAGTTATAATGATTTTAAAATTGGTTCTTTTGCTACGTTTAACAACTAAACAGCTCATTCATTATCACAATAACTAGTAATAAAACTTTTAGTTAATATTTTTCTCGCCCATGACCATGTTTAATTACCATTTCATTTAGATTGCACAAAGATATGGCTGTATTGTTTTTGTAATAATTTGATAAAATTCCCAATTGACAACAATGTGTGCCTGATATAAAGCGAAGGTGGATTTCAGTTACTATCGTTGCTAAGAAACCAGAAAGTAAGCTGGACGTATTCATGCATTAGGGGTGTGCAGTGTTGCCAATTTTACTTTTATAAAATTACGTTTTTTTCGTAATGTACATCATAAAGAATTTTTTTATTATTTTTTTGGGACTCCCGAAACGCCCGTGTATAACGTACTGAAGAGTTAATCCGCCATTTTCCAGGCACGCGGTATAACATGTATGTATGCAGTCTGAATACGCGAATTTACTATTTAATAAACTATACTCGAGTATATAAGAGAAAAAGAAATAGTCTTATGATGAACAAAGTGCTAATTTCGTTATCAAAATTATTAAATTAATTAAATAATTTATCAAAATTTCACAACTTCAACACTTAATGATACATAATATGCATGTGTGCATGCAATCGGCATTACACGGTCATAAACTATACTGGAGCATATGAGAGGAAAAAGATAGCCATATGAAGTGCAAAGTATTCATTTCGTTAACAAAATTATTAAATTAAAGAAAGTGGAGAATAATTAGTGGTGATGTTACTAACCTATCAATTAAAATTGTTTTAATGGAGTGTGAATCATGAGTATTTATCAAAATTCATCAGCTCAAAGCAATTGCTGATATATATTATGTGTATGTATGCAGTTTGCAATACGCAAACTTACTATTTAATTAACCATACCCGAGCAGGTAAGAAAAAGAAGAAAAAGAGGAGATAGCCCTATGATGTATAAATTACCCATTTCGTTATCAAAATGTTTAAATTAATTAAAGTAATCAAATCAAATTCAGCTATTCAAACCAATTGATGATATATAATGTGCATGCAATCCGCAATACACGAAATTACGGTTTAATAAACTATACCCGAGCACATAAGACGAAAAGAGGTAGGTCTATGGTGTCCAGGTTAGTCGTTTCGTTATCAAAATTATTAAATTAATTAAAATAATTATCGACTTCATAATCAGAATTATTATTGAGGATACATGTAATGTGCGTGTATGGATGTAACCCTCAATACACAACTAATCGAAGGCGCTGCAATTTCGTACATTTTCTGATGGACCTGTGATAACAGCCGGATGCACTTAAGAAAACACAAACCAATGTCCGGTGATAAGGTGATAGGGTGCTGATAACACCCCCGCTGCACTTTTGGACCCGCTGCACTTTCGGCGCAAAAACAACTAATTCCACGCCTTTACTACTAGAGTTTTACCATATGCACGATATTTCATAAATGCATATAAAATTTGACAACAACCGTTTTTTTTTTCTTTGTAAAACGTCCAAACATTTTTATTCCCCGAGCGTAAGATAGGAAACTATTCTAATAGGGTCCATCGACCGAAAGTTAGTTTCATATTTTCTACTTTTCATTGCCCCTAGAGCATGAAAAAATGGGTCGCTCGTTTCCGTCTGTGTCGAAATTTACACATAATCTCTGAGACTACCGGTCTGATTCTTATGAAATTGTATATGTATGTTAGGAATGTCGTGTAGATGGTACGTACACCACTAACCAAATTGTTTTATCATCCACATCAACAATCTGATAACTGCACCTCAAAACATTGGAGACGTTTTAAGGTTATCTATTGTAAATTTCTAATCAAAATTTATCTGCTTGTCCCCTTCTAAAAAGTTGATGACATCATCTCAAAATTTCGCTGAATAAATCCTGTCTAAATTGTGCAAAATATTATGAGACTATGTGTATGGTTTAGCTATGCATTCATGTTTTTAAGAATTACTCGCAAAGGGTGAGTATAAACATTAATGAATAGAGCAATTTATTTTATTGATGAAATCAACAACCATTCACCCCATTTTCCCTCCCCGAAAATTTGAGAATACAATGCTGTTATTAGTATTACACACGATGACGTTATGCCAAAATTTTATTATGGAAAAAGTCACTTGAAACATACTCATAACATGCTTTTTTACCTATATTTTAACAGTTTGCACATATCTTATTTTAATTATTAGGGGTTATTATTAATATTTTAAAATTCAAAAAATCAAATTTTAAAATATTTCGAACAAGTGGAATTTAGTGAATTGTGCTTCTTAAGCGAGGAAGGCTCTGTCTGATGGCTTAGATAAATTTTTAAATGTTGTATTCTCCTGTGCATTAAATTGTAAAATAACTTCTTTTATAGCTTGTAAATAGTCTGAGAAATAATTGCTACTTCGAACCAAGTAACATTGCGTTGGAATTGTTTGCGAGGGCAAAGGTATCGCAGACAAATTTTCCAGATACAACTGAGCAATGAGCACTCTAGAATAAAAGACTAATGAGGCTAATTTGCATTAGGAATCTAGCACCTAATTTCCGAGGTTCTTCGTTTAAATCCGTATTCTAATAAGTTAGATAAACTAAATTAGGATGGATGAGTTTGAGGTTACAGTAATTTTCAAAAAAATTGAATTTTGAGGTTTTTCTGTACGTATATTACCACAAATCATCGCTTCGTACGTTCAGTATTAAATTCTTCTTGCTCGCTTTTTGAAGATTCTAACAACTTTCTTTCTGTGTATGAAATAACAACAACAACGTGGTTTGTATAAGTTTATTAAATGTAACATACAAAACTAACAGGAACGATCCAAAAAATCACAAAAAAGTTATTAAGCTTCGGTTATCACTTTGGGTACAGGTCCTGGTACTGGAACACTTTGTACTCTGTATGCGACGGTTCTTCCGTGGGCGTTATTATTTACGGAAGCAGTACCCATAAGGTCGATGTTGGGTCCTCCTTCTAAAGGTGTAACTTCAGTCCTTTGAAAAAAAAGTATAAAACACTAACAAACAATGGTATCTGTGACTGTGTACTCACTTCGTAACTCTGTATCCTTTATCATCAGCTTCATAAAAAACTGTTCTTTGGTAGTACCCGTCACTATACGAATATGAACCCTTTACATTCAAACCTTCTCTAACTTCTTCCCTCTGGTGTGACAAGTCGTTGATGTTATCTTCAATACTAGAAGAAAATTCGTACCTTGCAGCCCTGTTTTGTTCCAATTCGAATTCGTTCGGTGCGTAGTTGGGGGTGCCATTAGGTTTCTCATGTTTTTGTGGTCGCGCAGTGACTGCCGTTAGGAAAAAAATTACCACTAGCTGAAATTCGTTACTTTTGTTTACATTACTGTTCACTATTATTCTAAAAATAATCTTACCTCTTTATACATTATTACAGAAAAACTACACTCTCACTTTCAAGTCTGTTTGTCTTTTGAATCTACCTTTTGCTGCTCTGGCTTTATATCCATGTTATGTGTCTACATTCTCCATTAGTGTCGTTATCTGGACATCTGAAAATATTTTAAACAAGAATTTTAAAAATTACTCGTTATGTATTTATGGTTGCTTCGGGCTAAAGAGTGTCGTTTTCCTCAATAACAAATTACTATATTAAAATAACACGATTGTTATTAAAGTGGGTCCTAACAATAAAAAACTGCTCTTGGGGCGTTATTGATGGGACTAAATGTGGAAGCTTTACAAAATTTGAATTTCAGATTGGCGAAAAAGAATAACAATGGTTTACAAATTTGCATTTTTATCTTATGAACGAAAACAGCATGTCCGATTTTTTTGTTGTGTGGGCTTCGAAAAGTTATTACTTCGCTGAAAATTTTATGAATAATTTATCGCTACATTATGCGCAAGCTAATTTTTTATATTTATCGCACTACATGCCTGACTAGATTTTTTTTTCTGATAAAATTTGCGAAATATTTGTTTTTACGTTTTTTGTGATTTTTTTTTATTCGACAATAATATACAAGGTTATTCACGGGAAGCTCCACGTCTAAAAAAATTAATACGGAACCAGAAATACAATTTCAAAATCATCTTTAATATTTCATATTATTTAAACAAAAGGTAACCCTTAATTATTTGTTTTGTGTAACTCATTGACATAGACATCATTTTAAAAATAACATTTCGTCAGAATTGATGCAGATATGATTTTAATATGAGTGCTTCGAAGGTGATGTAGAGAACATTATCCGTACAGGCGATGCAGGCGATGCCATGACGACATTCTTGTTTTGAATTTGTTGTTTCAACCGAAGAATTGACGTTTATTTCTAAATTATCAAAACAAAACATCTGTGTTTTATTTAAAAACACAGTCATAGTAAATATCAAAGACTGCTATGTATTGAATTTTTTATCATGTAATTTATGTACAGGTTTTTTGCTTTCAGTTGAACAACAACCCTGCATGGAAAATAACTTTTTGAAAATGGTACAGTGGATAATTAATTAGGTAAAATTTCAGACGTAACTGAACAAGCAGTGGAACTCCCACGTAACTATCTTCCGATACCATTAGTTTTGTTACTCTGGTTTATAAAACAAAATGATTAAAGGAGTTAAGTCTGAACGGAAAGTAAAGATCCTGCTCAGGACTTATGTGTAAAGTATGATATGGTTGATATGCTATAAGATATAAGATACAGGGCGTGATTTTTTTTTTGTTTCTGTTATTCAAATTTCACAGTTATAAAATATATGGATTTGTTTAATGTACGAAAAAGGGCTTTTATATATTTTCAGTGTAATTTTAAATATATGCCTTCATTATTTTTCAGCAATAAATTTTATTTGCGTGTGCTGAGTCTTGAGAGGTGTTATGGATTTTTTTGTGTGTGAAATAGGTGATTCACTACATACGTAATATACATATTCGTTAAAAGATAACCCAAAAATAAATAGAAGTTTCGACTATTGGATATAGAACAGTACATTGTTGGTGAGTCAGCTTCTCTAAAAAATGTTGTAGTAACAAATAAAAGTTTAAAACGTAAATTAATGACGATAGTTCACATTTTTCTAAAAACTAACCTCAAAAGACAAACTATGATATATTAATTCACTATATACACTATTTTAATCTTTATCAGTACCTACCTTTAAACCTATCTTATCAAACATATCTCATATTGTTATACCATTGCATTTGATTTTGGTATATGGATGTACATGGTAAACATGGATTTGTTATTAACAATTTAAATGAGCGTCCTAATATGGCTGATGGGGACTTATCCACAGTTACTATTTCTGTCAAAACCATCTATATGCGTGTCAAGTCACAATCGGTTACAATGGTGGTGGTTATAATGGATTGTGTATTTACACATTTGTTCTTTTGATTAATGCTTAAAATTAGCATACATTTGGACTTACAATTAAACCTAAAACTAATACTAATCTTCCTTCCAACTATCTTATTGATCATAAATTTAATTCTTTTTGTATTTTACTATAAGGTTATTAGATATCTGACAGAGTTAGTACATTTAATGAAATTTATATGAAGTTGACTCACCTCTCACAATATATTGCTCATTTACAGTCTTGTAAAAATTATATACCCGATAGACGAAACGTCGGCAAATTATTGGTTAATGTGGCCCTATTTCCGATAAAAAAGAAAAGATAAATAGAAACATTTCGCTTAATATAGATATTGTAGTCCATCTTTATTTTAGATACCATAAGTTTTGTCAAATTGTGGTAAAATTAAAAAAAAAAAATAAGATTTGAGAGCTCTGCTATGAGGTCACTGAGAAGTCGTAAGTTCCAAAGGTTGTATTATTTATTTAGCAAAATTTTGCGATAAGGTCATCAACCTTCAATGTAGAAACATGTTATTGAAGAAAAAAAAAAGATGAAATAAAACAACGACGATCCAATCATCATAGTGAATCATCTTGAAAGACGCTTGACTTTAAGTTTATGTAGTACTGTATAAAATATTTATCTTGCTTAAAATAATAAGGAATAGAGGAAACAAAAAGCAATTTTGATCATTAATTTTACAAACATAACGTATAATTTAATGTTTTTTTTTTCAAAGCCAATAAGCAAATATATTTGACAAATTTTGTAAAATAAAGCGGTAGTTAGTTTTCTTCGAAACCACTGCAAGCGAACATTTTACTATTGATTTTTACGGAAGCCTGGGCGGCGCCATTTCTTGTCCTTTTCAGCGTGGGAACACCCTTAAGTTGCAATACTCAAATTTGATCCGGATAACTAACAAATTTCGTAAACGTTCAGTCAGATTAACTTGAGTTCTTCATCAGTCGTTGAGATGTTAAACATTGGTGTAAAATTGTATTTAAATTATGGCCTCCAACTCACCTTGTTACCGTTTGTACTTTTTTTCATCAGCAGTTAACATTTTTCGTGTAAAATGCTGGAATATTTTATAAAGTGAGAGTTAAATTCAACTTTAACCTTTGTTGTTGCTGGAAAAACTGAAAGAGAAACATTAAAAGAATATTAAATGAATACCTAAATGATTGCTCGTTAAACGTTAGTTAGTTTTGTATCTGTTAAGAAAACTTATATCCATGTGGTTAGTTTTTTCTAACGACGTCCGAAAAATATGTAATTAATGTAAAAATTAGTGTTTCATTAATTCATTATTTTTAAAACTTTCGAACAACAATATCGAGAATATCTTTTGTATCTGGTGTTGTACAAACAATTGTGTTAATTTTATAACAATAGAAAAAAATCCCATGAATTTACAATACAAAATAAACACTTAACAGATTTAAATAACAATTTTAATATTGAAAGTGTTATGGGTTCTAGGTTCCTTTTGCAGACTATGTGTGCAAAACTGTGTGTAGAATACCGTACGCCGATCACTTTTTATGAAGCAAACTACAACATTTGTTTATTAATATATACAGGGTGTTTACGAAGCATGCTCAAAAAATTGAAGGAGTGATTTTCTTGGCTTATTTTAAGATTTTTTTGCTTTTGGAGAATTTTCGGAAAGATACTTTTTGACATGTAAAGATTCCAAATCTACAAAAACCGCGGAAAATGACTACGATCAGCTGGGAGGTATGCATCCCATCTTTTCCTCATTGACTGTTGAGTTTTTCAAAAATACCAGAGTTGTTTCTTATTGTATTACACCCCTTAACTATAAGATTTTTTTATTAATTTGACTTTAATTTTGTGACCCTGTATGTGTATATGTTCAAAACGTATTATCTTTCCGAAAACCATTCAAGAACAAAAGAATTGTATTTTTCCACATGTGTACTGAACAATCTATATTCTTGTACAAAATGTTAGGCAAAATTCAGAAAAAACTCATGTTCCAAAAAAAGTTCAGTGCTGAATCAACTTTATGTCAACGAAACGAGCTGAAATTTTATGCTATCATAAATGTATACATGTATACATTGTTGCATGTATGACGATTATATTATCTAGTAACTAAATTTTCGATTTCTCATTTTTCGTTATTCTTGGTTTCAGCGTAACAGTAATTCTAAGATTTTGCAGATTGTATGTCCAGTTTTCCCATTTTTGCGGTTTTGAAGATCTACTGTGTGTGTCGACATTCGTTGCAAAATTTGTAACATCAGCTTAAATTTAATGTGTGGCACATTAAAAGAATGTTTCTTTGTCTGGAAGGTTAATTTTGTATGTTTTCTTTTCCATTTTTATTGTTCTGTCCCGTTTTTTCGTGTGTGGATATGTTTAATAAAGTTTTTTGTTGCGTCAAGGCTGCATATACATTTCCTTCTAAAGCTAGAACTACGTGTTCCCACATTTGACCAGTAGAGATTGACGAATAAGTAAGAATACGCATATCGTATAAAGACATCTTATGCTTTCACCAGGCACCATTCGGAGTGAGTTGACCAAAGAAATAATTACATTCCACCTGTCGATAAAACAGTGTGTGAGCAACTTTTCGAACCTATGCTACTAAAGGAAAGCGTGTAAGATCATTTTCCTAAACGTTATAAATTTTAGTTGTTTACGTTTATGTTTTGTTGATGTTTCATGGTCCTGAAAGTAGGAAAAAAGTAGCATGTGTCTGTCTGTCTGTCTGGCGTCTCTGTCGATTTTTATTAGGGACGTAATCTCCAAAACTGCTGGACCGATTGTTGTCAAATTTTGTATCTATAATAGCAATATCATGTGAATGGTAAAACGCTAACCAGAATTTGGTTAATCATCCCCACCAACAATTTAATGACGTCATTTCAAAGAATTCTATTTTAAAATGATTTAAATGTTATACAGTAATATACTCGTATACTTGTGCTGTACGAATTCGCCTTAAGTTTTTTTTTTCCCTAAACGACGAAATGTTCACCAAAAATTAACACGTAAAATAACATTTTACCACTAACTCAGGGTATAACCGTCCGTGGCCATGCAGTTAAAGCGTCAACATGCGGTCGCACGTTCGGTGCTAAAGTGTGCCGTTTGTTTTTTTCTTTTTCTCTCGGGCGGTGTATT